AATTTGTCTCTGATGCTTTAAAAGATGAATTTAGGATAAATGCAATGCATGAGGAGCTTAATCAGTTCACTAGAAACGGTGTATGGGAACTTGTTCCTAAACCAATAGATGCTAACATTCTTCGAACTAAATGGGTTTTCATAAACAAGTTAGATGAACATGGCATAATCATCCGAAACAAAGCTAGGTTGGTAGCCAAAGGTTATAATCAAGAAGAAGGAATATATTTTGATGAAACATATGCACTTGTTGAAAGTGATCCTAGCAAAGATCTCATTGATTTGATGAAGTCAAAGATAAAGTCAAGGGTCAACTCTGCAGCAGTCAAACAAGTCACTCAGAAGAATGGAGCTGAAGACTTAGTGTGTCTTAACAGAAAGCTTAGGTAAAACCACTTTACCTTTTCCACTGCATAAAGCTTCTTCACTCATCTTGCAAAATGCCTCAAAAACAGTTTTTAACAAATAAAAAAACAAAAGCATTTTGGCAAAGAATTTTCTTAAACAAGTTATTAACTGATAAAGGTTTGAAAGAATCAATTTAAAACACTTAGAATGTTTTAAAAAGTGTTTTTACAATATTTTAATCGATACAAACTTCTTTTAATCGATTAAAACTCTTTATGACCGATTAGAATTCGAATGTAATAGGTCGTAATGCAATATAATCGATCAGATCTTAAATATGAGCGATTAGAATTATTTTAATCGATTAAAACACGTTTCAATCGATTAAAATCACTTTAGATGTCGATGATGATCGATCAGAATGAGATTATGACCGATCGAAGTTGGTTATGATCGATCAGAATTGAATTATGACCGATCGGACTTATTTCAATCGATTAAAACGCATTTCAATCGATTAAAATAACTTAGAAAATCTTTTCAATCGATTAAAACGAACTTTCAATCGATTAAAATGACTTGAAAATATATGTGCAGATTTTCAATCGATTGAAACGACTTTATATCAGCTTAAAATAACTTGGAAAGTTTTATAAAGAGGTTTTTAAACAAATCAATCGATTAATACGTGATTCAATCGATTGTTTTATACTTAGAAAATGTTTGTAAAACGCTTTAACTGATAAAAACGTGGTCAGTATCAACTAAAACATTTTCTCGTTAAAGATCAAGAACGCATTAATGGGTTGAAAGGACTTTTAACAGATTGTAACGGCTATTTCAACAGATTAAAACAAACTTTCAACAGATTAATTAATGCGACAGATTTGAAAATACTCTTTTATAAACAGATTTGCTTGAAACTTTGAGATATAGATCATACATCGCTTTTACACAATTCAAGCAATCAATACAAGCAACTATTAGCATTTTTCAAGAAAGATACACAACTATTTTTGTGAACTTCTTTTGAAATCTTTCTTGAGGCACTTTGCATCCTTGAAGAAGAAACTTACCGTGGATTGGTGTAATCCGGTTTGAGCTTTCTAAGTCTCTTCTTTGTAAATTCTTTTTCATTACTTTGTATTGTGTTGTACCCGGAATTTGGGTACAAGTTTTCTGCAGTTGTTGTAGAAAGTTGCCAAGAACTCGGAATTTGGTTCTTGGTGGAAAGGTTAAAGCAAGAGCCGGAATTTGGTTCTTGTGTGTGGTGCCCGGAATTTGGGCACTCGGTTTCTCTCGCTAGCTGGAATTTGGTTGCAGAGGTTTCCAAGAGCTGGAATTTGGTTCTTGGTGGAGAGTTAGAATAGGTGTAAGAGGGAGAGTCTCGTAAAACATCTATTCTAGTGGAACCCAACTGGAATTTGGCTGGAGTCCGGACGTAGCCCTGGTATTGGGTGAACCAAGTATAAAATTACCGGTGAAATCTTTCCTAACCTTTCTCTCTTTAATTTCGCCGCTGCACTTAAACTGTTTGATTGCTTTGTGATTTGTGAATTGATAAGTAATCTTAATTTTCGGATTAGATAATCTGTGTATTGCGAAAAACTTTCAAAAATCAATTCACCCCCCTCTTGATTTAAAACTACTTTTCTAACACTTGTTGCTAGGTTATAAGTTTTTAGATTACTACTTGCTTATGCTTCTATGAAGAAATTCAAGTTATACCATATGAATGTCAAAAGTGCATTCTTAAATGGCTATCTATATAAGGAAGTATATGTCTCTCAACCACCTCGATTTGAAGATCACAAATATTCAGAACATGTGTTCAAACTCAAGGTTAAGTCATTTTCTCATTTCTCAAAAATACCAAAGAGGAGATGTGGATAAAACACTATTTCTGAAGAAATTAAAAAATGACACAATTTTGATACAACTATATGTTGATGATATATTTTTTTGTGCTACTAATGATGCTTTGTGTAAGAAATTTGTGAAAGAAATGAAAGGGCAGTTTGAGATGTCTATAATGGGAGAACTCAATTACTTCCCAGGCTTGCAAATCAAGTAATTAAAAGGAGGAAGCTTTCTACATCAGTCAAAATACTGTGCAAAATTACTCAAAAAGTTTGACATGGAAAGCTGCAAGGAGGCATCCACTCCTATGTCCAGAAATTGTTATCTTGATACTGATGAAAAGGGAAAATTAGTTTATCAAACCAAGCACAAAGGGCTCATTGGTTTGCTACTATACCTTATATAGCTAACAAACCTAACATAATGTTTAGTGTTTGCATGTGTGTCAGGTTCTAATCAGCACCCAAAGAGTCACACTTCATAGCTGCAAAGAGGATATTGAAGTACTTCGAGGAAACTGTGAATGTTGGCCTATGGTATCCTGGTGAGTCTTAATTAAATTTGATTGGATATTCTAACTCAGATTTTGCAGGATGCAAACTGGATAAAAAGAGCACCAGTGGCAGATGTCATTTGCTTAGCAATAATTTGATTTCATGGCATAGTAAGAAGCAGGCCTGTGTAGCTTTATCAACAGGTGAGGCAGAATATATTGTTGCTTGGAGTTGCTATGCTCAATCACTATGGATGAAACAACAACTACAAGATTTTGGTTTGATTCTTCATAAAATTCCTCTACTATGTGATAACACTAGTGCTATAAATCTAACCAAGAATCTCATTCAACATTCTAGAATCAAACATATAGAAATAAGGCATCATTTCATAAAAGAGTGTGTTTCTAAAGGCGATTGTGAAATATTCTTCATTGAAACTGAAAAGCAGCTAATTGATATTTTCACAAAACCATTAGCTCGTGATCGATTTTATTTGATTAGAACTGAATTAGGTATCTTGGATCTATCAAATATTGCATAAACAGACAATTGCTAACAAAATTAATTGATACATATGTCTTTTAATCGATTATATTACTAATACAAATGAGAGTCTTTGGTAATCACAACTTTTTAATCGATCAAATACATGAAATAATCAGCTAAATATACTCAAAACCATCTATGAACTATTAATTCTCTCTGTTTTAATCGATTATTCATCGAATTAATCAATTAAAAACACTTGAAATCATTATTGTATACTAAGACCTCTCTGGTTTATTCAATTATTCATCGAATTAATCAATTAAAATTACTTAAAACCATTTTTAAATAAGTAGTCTCCTCTATTTAATCGATTATTCATCAAATTAATCGATTAAAAAGCTCTCACGCATCTTTTTCAAATTTCCAATCTCTTTGAACTAATCGATTATTTGGCATTTTAATAGATTAAAATTATGCATACATCTTTATTATTCAATTACCAAGCTCAATTTTAAATTATTGCATGGTAAATTAATTTATTAGATTGTTCTTGGAAAGTATCAAATGATCAATTGCAGGTGTTAATCTCGACAGATTATGGATTAACATTAGTGAAAACAAAAAGTACAAATTGAAGACTTGTGATTGGACTATGAATAAGACAAATTTTATCAAGTCAAGCAAGAACATTTTAGCTAAAACCCACTACACAAAACAATGTCGTCGCTTCGGTCAAGGGAACCATTGCAAAGTTAAAAATAAAGAGTTGTAGAAATCCGGAAAACTAGAGTATTGGTCGGTAAAAAAACCATTCAACTCATCTCTATCAAACTTCTGCATCTTATTAAATAAGAACCTTGTAAAGAAATAATTTTCATATTCATGACCATCCTTTGCTTCTCCTAACAAAGCACAATATTTTTTTTCATTAAATATGTTCAAGACATCCAAGTCTGGTACAAAGAAAAGTAAGGGAGAGTCATCCTCTCACGCACCTGAAGCAAACCCTGAAGGGCATCTTGAAGCTTGGTTTAATGGAGATTTGTATAGGATGAACAAGTTTATCTCTGGATTCCGTAAGAAGCAGTAGGTTGTTCCAAAGTATATTCAACTCAACTGGCTTGACAAAGAAGGATTTACCCCTCCTAGACAATAACTTTAGTACCAAAAATTGAAGAATTTCCTAGAACTTCCGGGAATCATTCAACCAGGATCTAGTCAAGGTGTTTTGCACCAACCGACCATTAAAAGCTCCACTATTCGATCTCAAGTGAAGAGAGTAAACATGGTGATCACCCTAGTTGTTTGGGAGCAGGTAGATTGTGATGAAGGCGTGAAGATATCTAAGGGAAATGTCTCTCGAAGCTCGGAGGATTTTAACAAAATCTAGTTCTTCATATCTTGTCTCAAAGATAGAAATGACTTTGTTAGAATTCTAAATGTTGGGAAGATAAAACTTGAGCAAAGTTCACTGGAGTTCATCATTGCTTGGGTGTTAACACCCAGGGGGACCAATCATGCTCTTTTAAATGAAGGGGATTTAGCCTTTATGTACTACATCTAAAATCATATCAAAGTCAACTGGATATATGTGATTAAAGATCACATGATCAAGTTGAAAAGGCTAAGTGACTTTCATTTACCATATGTTATGCTTATTGTTAAGTTCTTTCGATATTTTGAAGTTGATTTAACGGGAGAGTACCAAGAGATGCCCAAAATCACAAACGAAATTGATGATTAAACTCTACGCAAGATGGGCTTTATTAAGATTGATGGGGAGTAGATATCAAAGGTGAAAGCTAGAATGGGAGATGAGGAGGAAGAAGAAGAGGATGCGCCTCAAGAAGATGCTTGGAAATTCTCCAGACTACATAACCAAAACCAGATCGATGTAGACAACACGACTAGAACATTTCGAGAATATGGAGATGGTTCCGATGAAGAAGCTAATAAGAAGCATCTTGGAAGTCTTGACTAGAAGATTTGATGAAGTCAAAAGAAGATGTTGTGTTAGTCCATTCGCATCTACTTTGAGTAGGTATAAGCATCTATCCTTTCCTATAGCATGAGTTTCTGTCTCTTACAAAGTATAAAGTGCCTCAAGCATCTATCCTCTTCATTCGCAGTTTTAATTGATATGTTTTCGAAATAATTGATTAAAAACACTTAAGAAACAAGAAAACACTTTCTGTCACAATTTTAATTGATACATTTTTTAAATAATAAATTAAAAATACTTAAACAACTTGAGAATACTTTACGTCGCAATTTTAACCGATATATCTTCTAAATAATTGATTAATTTCACTTAAGAAGTTTTAGAAAACCTTCATCAAAATTTTAACCGATATATTTTTTTAAATAATCGATTAAATTCACTTAAAAAGTATTAGAAAACTCTCTCGCGAATTTTAATCAATATAACTTTGAATTAATCGATTAAAAACACTTAAACAATTTTTGTATGATAATTTTAATCGATTAAATCTCATTTTCATCAATTAAAATGTCTCTAGAAAATATCCAAAATTATTTTAATCGATTAAACCACGTTTTTATTAGTTAAAACGTCTCGAAAAAATTGGTACAACCTTTTAATCTATTAAAAGGAATTTTCATCGATTAAATTCATTTTTAAGATAAGTTGTGTTAATCAATTAAAATGTTAATTAATCGATTAATCACATTAGTTAGAAAAATCTCTATAAACATATTTTCTCCAATGTTTCAAAACACATATTTAAGAAATCATTCAAGTAATCTTTAGAGATCTTTTCTAAGAGAGAAACGTGTTTTTCTAATTAGAATTATTTTGCAATCTTTCTTGAGGCTCTTTGTTCTTGTTTTAAGGAAACTCATTGTATGATTGGATCTTTGCATCTGCATTTTGATTTGATTGTTGTAGTTTCTTCAAGCATCTTGTTTCTTCATTCGATTCATTGTATTTTCGATGTATGCGAAATTGTGGGCACTAGTTTTAGTAGCTAGAATTGTGGTTGTTTTCATAGGTTTAAGAAGCTGGGTTATAGTTCTTGATGTAGATGGATTTTACGCAATCTGTTCTTGTAATCAATTGGTATTTGATTAGTGGAACTCAAGTGGGATTTGGTTGAGAACTGAATGTAGCCTCATGGATTGGGTGAACCACTATAAACTTGGTGTTCTTGCTTTTCTTTCATCTCTTTCTTTCATTCAAAATTGTTGTTATTTTGTTCAAGAATTGATTGAGTTCTTAAATTTTTAAAATTTATAATATGTAATCAAAAGTTGTGAAAAGTTATTAGATCAATTCACTCCCCTCCCCCCTCTTGATCTCATCCTGTATTTCTAACAATTGGTATTAGAGTTGGGTCTTGAAAATTATTCAAGTTTTCGATCCTAAAGTTTTTTAATGGCTAAAAACAAACTACTTTTTTTTAAGGAGCATCTATCAATAGACATCCACTGTTTTATGGTACAGATTATCAATTTTGGAATATTAGAATGAAAATCTTTATTGAATCAATTGATAGGAACATTTGGAATGTTATTGAATTAGGTCCATTAGTTATTGATAGAAAATGGTCTGCATTGAATGATGATGAAAAGAAGAAAATTCAGCATGATTGTACAGTAAAAAATATCATAACATTTACTCTCAATATGGATGAATTTTTCAGGGTCTCTTAGTGAAAATTTGCCAAAGAAATGTGGGAAGTTCTTGAAGTAACTCATGAAGGCACAGGTAATGTCAAAAGGGGGCCAAAAAACACACTCTCATAAGAGAATATGAGTTGTTCACAATGCATCCAAGAGAAAGCATTTCACACACATCATCAATCATATGATGGGTCTTGGTAAGACATTTGATAAAGAAGAATTAAATATTAAAGTACTGAAATGTCTTGACAGGTCTTGGCAACCCAAGGTCACTCAATCTCAGAATCTAAGGATTTATCCACCATGACCACGACTTCTCTGTTTGGAAAACCCAGGGAATATGAGATTGAAATCAACATGTTCAATGAGTAAGAAATTTCAGAGAAGACGGTGAAAAACATAGCTCTTAAAGCAAGTGATAAAGGTGAAGAATCTGAAGAAGAAAATGAAAATTTTGGTCTGCTTGTCAAGAAATTTAGCAAATTTCTCAAGAAGAGAAATAAAGATAAATTAGTGCATAAAAGGTATGTAAAGAAACCATAATCAAATTCATTTAATTATAAATGTTATGGTTATGATAAACGAGGGCATGTAAGAATGGAATGTCTAGAAAAGACTAGGAACCAAGACAAGAAAATTGACAAGAATAAAAAGAGAGCCTACATTGCTTGGCATGATAATGATACATCATCAACCAAAAATTCAAAGGAAGAATAAGCAAATTTGTGTTTGATGGCTGGTCAAGAATCTCCAACCAGTAGTGTAATTTCTACCTCTTCTAATAATTCTATGAATTATAGTTCTTTGTTAGACGCTTTCAATGAAATGCATGAAGAAGCAAAGTAACTTGCTAAGGAAAATAATAGATTGAAAGGTATGAATAATTCGTTAGAAGATAGAGTAAACACTCTTGAAAATAAACTTCTTCAAGAAAATATCGATTCTAAATATCTTAAGATGATTCACAACAATTATGACTGCATGTGTAAGAAAACTGATTTAGAAAAACCTTGTGAAAATTGTTCTGAATTACAAAAGAAATTGCATATTTGATCAAAATTGTTTCAAAGTTTGCACAAGGTAAAGCTAATTTTAATGTCCTACTTGGATCTAAAAATTAGTCATTGATCATGCTCGCATTGGTTTCACACCTACTGTAACAAAGGCATTCCAAGATTACTTTTCTTATAGAAAACTAGTTTGTACACCTTTAATTACATGTGTTTTACTGCATGAGAAGAGGTCACTTAGTCAAATTTTCAAAAATTAAGAAATATGTAGTTCCTAGAGGTAAAATGAAATGGGTTCCAAAACAAATCTTGCAAATAACTTAGATGGACCCTATTATTTTCAAAGGGTACCAAAACTGTGTTGAATCATTTTTTAGGAATAGCAAACCGAGAACTTATGGTACCTAGATAGCGGTTGTTCAAGACACATGACTCGGATATATCTACAAGTTTCACAATTTAAAACTTAAAAGTGGTGGAACTTTTGTATATGGCGACAACAACAAAGGTAGAATTCTTGGAGTGGATGATATTAAATGTGCAGAATTTGGAATTATTCATAGTGTACTCGTATGTTGATGGGCTAAAACATAATTTGATCAACATCGATCGACTTTGTGACAAGGGTCACAAAGTCATCTTTTAACCCGAAAAGGTATTAATCATCGGTAAGAGTTATAGCAACATATATATGTTAGGTACAAATTCTACGAGAAAATTGTTGTTTAATTGCTAAAGAAAATGACACTTGGCTATGGCATAGAAGATAAGATCATATTCATATGCATCATCTTAACAAATTGATTTCTACAGAACTTGTAATAGGACTACCTAAATTGAAGTTTGTGAATGACAAAGTGTGTGATGCATGTCAAACGGGCAAGTAAACAAAAAGCTCTTTGCCACGAGAAAAATATTGTCTCTACTACTAGACCGCTTGCACTTCTACACATGGATCTCTTTGGACCTTCATGAACTGTAAGTTTAGGAGGAAATATATATACATTGGTTATTGTAGATGACTTTTCAAGATTTACCTGGACAATGTTTTTAAAAGTGAAATTCGATACTTTTCAAGCTTTCAAGAAATTTGCTAAGCAAATTCAAATGAAAAAGGTTATGTCATCTCTTACATTCAAAGCGATCATAGGGGAGAATTTTTAAATGAAAATTTTGATAGATTTTGTGAAAAACATGGCATTAAGAATAATTTTTCTACACCAAGAACTCCTAAGCAGTATGGTGTTGTGGAAAGGGAAAACTAGTCTCTTGAGGAGCTTGCTAGGACCATGCTAAATGAAAAAGCTTTGTCAAAATACTTTTAGGTTGATGTTGTAAGCACAACTTATCATGTATTCAATTGGGTTTTGATAAGACCTTTTCTTAAAAAGGATCCCTATGAACTATACAAAGGTAAAAAGCCAAACATAAATTACTTTAGAGTGTTTGGATGCAAAGTTTTTGTCTTGAATAATGTAAAAGAAAATCTTGGAAAATTTGACTCTAACTCTGGATGAAAGGATTTTCTTGGATTATTCTTGAATAGCCATGCATATAGGATCTTCAATAAGAGACTTAAAACTGTGGAAAAATTTGTACATGTTGTCTTTAATGAATCTTGTCCAGAAGTGTAGAAAAACTTAGTTGATGATGTAGATGAAGAAATTTTAGTTGATAAATTGTATCAGCTTAAAACTACCAGATTCTACCACTTACCAAAAACTGTTTGAAATTTTTGAAAATCCTGAAGAAGAACCTAAAGAACAATTACCCAAGGAATGGAAGACTCCAAGAAACCTCTCAATTGACAACATTATTCGACAAATTAATCAGGGAGTTTCTACTAGGAGATCTTTAAATAAATTTTGTAATCATATGACCTTTGTTTCACAAATTGAACCAAAATAGTAACCGAAGCTCTAAATGATAATAATTGAGTAAATGCAATGCATGAAGAACTGAACAAGTTTACTAGAAATAGTGTATGGGAATTAGTTCCTAAACCAATTGATGCCAATGTTGTTGGAACAAAATGGGCATTTAGAAATAAATTAGACGAAATATGCACTTGTTGTTAGATTAGAAGTTGTTAGACTATTACTTGCTTATGCTTCTATGAAGAATTTCAGGTTATATCAAATGGATGTCAAGAGTACCTTCTTGAATGGTTAATTGAATGAAGAAGTTTTTGTTTCTCGACCTCATGGATTCGAAGATCACGTACATCCAAAATTTGTGTACAAATTGAAAAAGGCTTTATATGGGCTAAAGTAAGCACCAAGGCGAGTGGTATAAAAGGTTCAGCGAGTTTTCTTATT